GTGATAAGACACATGGACTGCAAGAATCAATTATCTTCACCATTATTAATGGGTTGAAGCTCTGTCTTCTGAATAATTGTAAAGTGTGCACTGCGCTCCGATGTGGTCCAGTCCTCAACGGTGTCCATGTCTCGGTGGTTGAAATAAAGATACACCATTTCCTCTTCAGCTGCAAAAAAAAAAAAAAAAAAAAAATAAAAAAAAAAAAAAAAAAAAAAATTTAAATTAAAAAAACGGTTATGAATTAATAATTATGTGTCTAATGGTATTCTTCACCACTAATACCAGGCGCTACATATCTCCTTTCATAACACGCTATGCCAAAAAAAAAAACAACTTTTAAAATTACTGCTGATAGATTGCGTTATTTTTTTTTTAAAAAGTCAATATGTGTCTTCAGGAGTAGTCTGAAATTGAAAATCAGCTTTTTACCTGTAGATACCACTAGATCTGAAATGTTTGTTGAGTCGAACATTCCCGACGGTACCACAATGAGATACGTGTATTTAAGAACATCTGTTGATATGTCAAAGTGTTAGTTTTTTTTTTAAAATGTTTTAAGATAGAACAATGAATCTCCATCCAGTCATAAATAATAGTGAAAATTAAAATAATATTTGTTTTTTCACAAAGCGCATTACAAGACGGCATTTTCAACATTTTAGGAAAACGAAAGAATAAATTAGTTAAATAGTTCTTAAAATACTTTTTATGCTAAAATTTATTAATTTATCTTCAATTTTTTTAAATTAAAAAAAATTAATAACATTTTTAAAAATTGTAGACATAGATTTTTATTTGATACGATTGTCTGTCTAGATTTCAGGAAACCGCCCTTGCTTTTATTGATAAAATATCTGATGTTTGAGAGACTTGATTTTGTTAACGATATAACAATACACAGAAATTAAGTCTTGGCTTCATCAAAATATTTTAATCCTATAATATTGTAGACTAGTAACTATTTAATCAGTAATTACACGGTTTTCAATTTTTTTATACATTTCAATTCGGCATATCTATTATATTAGGCATGGATTTTCAACCTCTTTCATTTTACTTCAAGAGATTACTAATTAACAAAATTCCTCAACACATAACTTAATTGAAATAAATTATATTAATGATAGATTTTATTCCATTATTCACATCTAATATGTATTTAAAATGTCAAAATTTAGATTTGTTTGGATATTAAAAAAAAAAGATTTCCCGTGAAACTTGGTGACATTTATAGGCAAACTATTTGAAAGCTACTGTTATATATCTTTGCGACATGCGATATTTGTAGATTATATGCTACCTTACATTGATAACAAAGTGACCAGGCCTCAGTGATGCTCCCATTGACTGCACGGAGTCCTATCGTCTTGTGTTGTTTGCGCCCTGCCATCCAGGTCAGATGAACTCTGTCCTCCTCATCGTCTGCTGTTACCGGGTCAGGCAGCCAATCGGATCGAGAGACGTTCAATTTGGATTGGGTCCATCTAAACACGCCGTTGTTGCCTGTGTCATTGGCCCCCAGAAACACATGCACATCATTTGGGAACTCTGGAATCAGAGGAACATGCACACATCATTGGGGAACTCTGGAATAACAGGGACACGTGCACATTTTGGGCGAAATCTGGAATAAGAGAAACCTGTACACATCATTGGGGAACTCTGGAATAAGAGGATAATGTGCACATCATTGG